TCTGAAGTCTATTGCGTTCACCACCTCAGCACTGACAAAGCTCACACTCTTAACTCATCTTTGTGTCAGATATAAATTGTCCATTCTCTACTTCAGAGATGTCAGCCTGGCCTCTTCAGTTTCTTTTCTTTGTTTTCCTCTTCTTTAAGATGGAAAAGAAGAAATAAAAAAGGAAGTTTTGTAGAAATCACCGTCCTCAGATTCCGATGGCCTGACAGAGAAGAAAAACAGCTGCCACCGTTAAAAAAGAGCGACACGACCGCAGATACAGACATTATCACCGCGGACAGTGTCCTGCATTAGTGACCGGTGTCTGGAGGTCGGGCTGACCCGTGTCACCCATACTTACGATGATGGCTGCTGTGGCAGAAACTATGCTGTTTAATTTCCATTAATCGCAGCGCCTCGCTTCAGTTTCATTCAGATAATGATCCAAACGAGCTTCTCTTAAATCTGTCTCACCGCTTATCCCCATCCATCATTTTCTCCACTCGGCCTCCGGCTCACAATAAAATCTGCCGTCTCTCTGTACAGCCGTCCTCAATTTTACACCATCAGCCATCAAAGAGACATCTGAAATGTAACTATAACTTCTGCCATCACGACCCCCCCATCATCGCTGGGATTGATTTGCCCGAGGAGACATGTCTCACAGAATTCCCTCACATCGCCTCTAAAAAAAAAAAAAAATCACATTGGTGTTTTTATAGACCTATGTGATTTTTTTTATTTTTTTTTAAACATTGTTTTTTATTGTCCTCAGCCTTTATTATTGTTTGTGATCATTTATGCATCATTTATCTTCTACTTTTTTTTAATTAACTTGTTTTTAATTTTATCATTTTATGTTTTCTTGTTACTCCTCAGCCTTTCTAAGGCGACAATTAAGTGCTGAAAGTGCCACAATATAGTGACTCTCGCCGTTTGTTGTGTCGAGTAGAGAGTTGTAAACATGTATGAGTGTCCGGTGTCATGGAGACCTGGCATTGTATGGTTCATTAAGAGGCTGCACAATGATCCTCATCTGATTGCTTCTGCTAGGCCATTCTGTCTGGCTTCAAACTGGTGATTTTTGCATAAAGCAGGTGTGCTGAATAAATCTGAATGAATAAAACTCCATGACTCATGGCAGCTGGTAAATTTAGAAATGTCTTAGTGTTATCCACTTAAGCCATCTTTTATTTCAAGGCTAAATGCCCCTTAAATTGCCTAAAACAAATGCTGAGGCGCTGCTAAGAGTTAAAAACAATCCAAATTCTGTTAGCGCCATGAAACGGGCACTAACAGATATCTATGAAATGTAAGTCAGCTAGTTAGTTTCCATCTAAAGATAATATAATATATTATGATTGAAGGATTTCTATTAAAAAACAGGCAAGTACACAGTAGAGCGCTACTACAACTTTTATCAGTTGGGCTAGTTAACATGCAGTATAATGAAGTGCTACTAGGTGGCTAGCTACAGAGCTATGGTCAATGTTGGGGAGTAACAGAATACATGTACGGGCATTATGTATTTACAAAATATGAGTAACTGTATTCCATTACAGTTTAAAAGGGTGATACTCAGAATACAGTGACTTTGTTGAAATAAATGGATTACATGGCGGTATTTTCCTGTTTTATATGTTAGGCTGTGCCCTCTCTATTTTTGGTAATTCCACGCTGGTGGAAACGCAAACAAAACACACATTAAGGGACTCTAATGTTTGTGTCTCAATCTCACGGCCAATGTCACCTCTACTTGCAGCCCACATAATGACGTGAAGTAATATTTTTTTAAAATGATTATTTAATTAATAATTTAATATGAAGGCAATAGCAGACTGCTACAGGCATAGCCCTAAAGAATGTAGCCTCATGGGCAGTGTAGTCCGTGCTGCAGGGAGAATGGACTGCTATACCCATTATGTGTCTGTGAGCGAGGGAGGGAGAAAAAGGATAGTGGAAAAGTACGAGCTGTCACCGAGCAGAAACGGGAGCTGGAAGCATGTAAATATAATAATAACCACTGCAGCCTTACCTAATGTCAACCTACTGTTACTCATTTATAATAAGATTTAAAAATCTAGTTGGTATTGGTATGGAGAGTAACCTTCAGTAATAGTAATAAGTCACACAGCAATAGTACATTCATGTAGTTGTAAAAAGCATGATAATATATTAAGTAATCCAAAGTATTCAGAATACATTACTCTCATTGAGTCAACCAAGAGAACGTCCACAACACGAGGTTGATCATGAATATGTTGCTGCTGGGCGATATGACCCAAAACTCATATCTCGATATTCTTCAGCTGGATGGCGATATAAGATATATATCTCTATATTTTTGTTAAAGCCATAAGTTAAGAAGTTAAGGCATTAACGTCATTTTAACGAGATTAACGCTGACAGCACTAAAATAGTCATCTCCAAATGTTTTCAGCTCCTCTTTGATAGCTCCATGTCCATCTTGTCGTTACCTGCAGGTGAAGCGATGGGGGAGGGGGAGTTGTTCAGTGAAGGTGGGAGGTGAGGCAGAGTAACGCAGCGTAGAGTCAAAAGCGGACGAAAGAGAGATGCTATATCGATATAAACGATATTGTCACATCTCATATAAAAATATATTGATATGTTTAAAAACTCCATATATCGCCCAGTCCTAGCTGCGTAGTTTGGATTACTCGCTATGGAAAAGTCCCGATAGAAGTTTAATGTTCACACTCAAACCTGAGTGTGACCCGAGAGTGATTCTTTTCTGAAATGCTAACTGTGTTCAGTGTTTTTAAAACCTTTAAGACGTGCTGCACACAAACAGAGCTAATGGAAAACTTCAGAGGGCAAGAAGGATGGTCAGATGATTTCTGGGGACTCATCAAAGCACTGCTGCACATTAAAAAGACTAAAGCCTTGGCACTTAACAGGGGGATTACGCAACAACTTGAAAATAATTAGTTTCATAAATTAAACCAAAACAATACGATGTACATGAGCTCAGTTTGTTGGAGCCTCTTTAAGTGAGGCTGCAAGATGAGGTGCACCGACACAGACGTGCAGATGAAAACCCAAAGGACTGCTGAGCAACCTCTTTTCATTTATTGCCACATTTCCCTCTCAGACCAGTTTCAAACGTTGCATAATTGAAAAAAACCTGCTGATAGAAACCAGTTAAAGTTATTTCTGGGTTTTGATTTGTCGCCCGATAAACTGAGAGTCAGTGAGGGAGTAATTGAGTGAAAAGTTGGGGAAGATGGATCAGAGCTGAGTCAGTCACACTTTATGATCGCTGCTTTAGTGATGAGATGAGCCTGGTTGTTACTGTGCTGCAGTCAAAAGTATTAAACTCAGTGAACCGCGAGAAGAACTGGGGGGCAGGAATGATGCTCATCCAGCGCCATCACACCACCCTTTATTCACCAAGAATGCTCTCCAGTGGTGACTCCTACCTAAAATAGGCTTTTTCTGATGGTTGCCATGGGTTCCCAACTATTCTATATCCCAGTGAGTAAATCCTAAACAAAGAAGAAATTCACCATAAGTACGTTTCCTCGCTTGACCTCACTGCCAGTGGTTCAGAGTTGACTCGCCCATAACAAACACTTTGTCGTGAATATATAAGTAACAAATGTTACGCACGAAAAACAAACCAGTAAACATTAAATTTATGAAATTCATCTTATTCACATTCACAAAAACATTTCCTGCTCAAAAACCGAAAAAGAAGCAAAGGTTTTTTTTTATTCCACCCCTATTTAACTGATCAAATATATCTGTTTTGGTTATACACTATAAATAAATAATAATAATTATACACATTCCCTTGTTATATTAGTCTATACATCTTTTTGTTTACGTCCATAATTATTAATTATCCATAATTATTAACTCAAAAACTATTGCAACAATACTCCCCCTGCCAGGAGGGGAAGTGAACACCATAACTTGAGACTAAGTGACACAGGATTCTGAAAATCACAGACAAGTTCAAGTCTCAATGACCTTGACTTTGACTTCAAGCTCACTGAGACTGGAAATCAACTAGGATTTTCAAATTCATGCCATAAGTGCACGGGCTGCCTCCAGTATTTTAAATGTCATCATATCGAGTTATCCATATTTAATGTGCAGTACAACCATTGTATCCCCTATGGTTTTGATATATGGACGAGACAGGGTATTAAATATTTAAAATAAATTTTGACAATCAGAACCTGAAGTGGATAAGTGGAAGAGAAGAGACGGCCCGATGTATTACCCCGTTTCATTCATGTGGTGCTTTATAAACTAAAGGTTTTTTAATCTAATTTTTAAAACTGATATATATTTGTAAATCTTTTCAAATTGTCCTCGTGACTATTCCACAAATAAATTACTATAGTACACCTATGCCCACCTTTAGACACACCCCTGCATGTCGGTATCACTCGTCTTTTTAGCACTAAAGGGTACACAGGGCTGCCGTTGTGGAGACTTCAGAGACATTTTATTTGTCTCCACCTGACTTCACTGCCTCTTTGAGAGGCTTTTGAGAGGCTGTGAAATCAGCAGGATCATCTTTTCTGCTGTGGTGTTTTCAGTGGGCTTTTTGAGAAAAGTAGGATCCATTTAAGCTGAATCTTTTAAGGCCTTTTATTCACACATGCTCCTACATGGGTTTATACTCCGTTAAATTGATTTTCAAGTCACAAATGTGAGTGAAACACTTACGCTGTCCAGCATAAACGGCACAATTTTTCCGCTGTGTTGTCCGCTCCACAAGAGTGTTTATATAACATGAAACTTTTTCCTGCTGCTGGTAGTTTCATGTAAAGGTCAATGTAGTATTTTGGATTCACAGGTTAAGTTACAACTGGCTTTACTGGTGTATATAAATTAAAGAGACGAATTGCAAATTCTTATTCATTGTGATGTTGTTCTTATACTCTGTGAGGTCTTAAAGAAGTCGTATGTACCTTGAGCTGAAGGAAGCACCCGTCTAACTTAATGCTGCTCCCCTGTATATGTGTTTGTACCGTCAGATGACCTGGAGCGCTGCATGTACCCCCTGCTGCCCGGCACCCCCCTCACTGGCACCAGCCTGCTGTCGCTCAAGCAGAGTCAGATCACCTCGGCCGTCAGCCTGCTCGACTTTTACTGCTGCAAAAACTGCTGGTTGCCCCCAGAATACTACCTGTACTCCACACCAGGGCAGGATGGAAAGCTTCTGTTACTGTACAAGGTTTCAGACTGACTAGATGTTAACACATAAACATGCATGCAGTTAAACATATCTGAGAGGTGTCGGAATTTATGCACATCCATTGTCCTTATATATGTGCAGGATCCAGTTAATGACATTTAGAGTTGCTGCACTGACATTTTTACAGTTTATTGGATCATTAGCACCTCTTCATGTGCTGTGTAACTAAGTGTTAGCTAGCTCTCTATCCACGCTAATTGTAGCTGTCTTTAAAGAAAGTAGTGTTAGTCATACTTCTTAACTTGTGCGATTACACAATAGACTTATGGCTAAAATCAATACTGTTTGCTATTATCTATGAAATATTGTTGTGGCTCATGCTATCCGCATTTTCATTTGGATGCCATTTTGCTAGGTTAGGAAGCTAACTCCTAGCTGTAACTTGACTATACTCAATGAATCAAGTGATTCCTGATTTGTGACATTATCTGAAAAAGGTCAGCTAAATTACGAGATCAGCCTTGGAAGTTTGGAGGAAATGGCAAATCACAGACTAGATTTTTGAATAATGTTAGCTTGCTTAAGGTTAGCTCAGGATTGACCCTAAAAGCTAAACGTTTCACTCCATAAATCAGTTTTCCTGTTGTTGTTGACACTAGTTTTCCGTCATAGCTCAAATGGGCTTGATTACATAGGTGACTGATTTTTTTTCTGGCTAATATTAGCTAACGTTAACATACCTGTTAACATGAACAAAATACCACCTGTACCACATGTAGCACCTAGGGGGCTAAGCTTGTGGATTGGGTGCAGATGAGTGTGAGGGTTGATTTGTGGCAGAAGGACAACAGCAAGAGTAAAAGGAAAGGTTTGAGGATGTCAGCTCGGACAAAAAGACAGGAAGTCGAGCTGAAGATGCTAAGGACACGATGAAAAGATTACAAAATGAGGACATCAGAGGAACAGCTCATGCTGAGTGGTTTGGAGGCAAAGTTAGAGAGGCAAGGCTGAGATGGTTTTTAAATTAAAGTGCAAAATTTTTATATACAACAGTAATAAAAATAAAAAGGAGATTGTGCACGAGAGCACTGCAGACTGCATTAATGCATAAACATGTACTCCATAAATCTCCATAAACAGCTGCGAGAAGGTGTAATACAGAAATATGTGTGTGTCTGTAACCATGCATAACATTAATGACGCAACCACAAATATAAACACAGCTTGACCGTACTGAATTATTTATAGCTTCTATATATTCCATACATGTGATTCTGCTGCAGGCACAAGGACAGATTATTTTACAGCCTGGTGGGACAGGGTTGTGCTGCGGGCTGCAAAGTCCACAGCAGTAAATTATGTACGTCACAAAGCTGAAATGCAACACAATTATGTACATAGATGAGAAATATTTCTATGTTACTCAGTTTAAACATTTAAAAACATAACTTTAAAAGTACAAATAAATTGATATTCAGTGAATTTTTGCTTATTACGTGTTCTTGTTTCAGTGAAGTCTTACATATCATGACCATCTCTAACATTATCCCGTTATAACATCCAGATTCTTCCTGTGTTATCAGCATATGAACATAAAAAAATAACGTTTATATTCTGTAGTGTGTGTAAAATTCAGCAGTTCCATTTAAAGCTGTTTTTTAAATTTTTTTTATTTAAACTGTTTCACAAGATGTTAAAGTTACAGAAACAGTCATAAAACCAGCCAGCAGCTCGCCTGTTTTTCTTTTGTTTCCCAGCAATGCAGTTTTGACTGTGACTTACCCCATTAATTACCTCCCCGGTCTTCGTGTGTCTTCATTTCAGTGAAACGATTGTTTGTTTCTACATTAACCAAACACTATGTGTGTGTGCGTGTGTGTACGTACATGTAGGTGGTGATACAATCCACACGAAGGACGTACATCCCTGACAAGCTGTGTGCTCTGCTGGATGATGCCAAGGAGCTTGCTGCTCAGACCACCCTGTGGAACCTGGGTACTCCTCAGCACACACACACACACACACACACACACACACACACACACACACACACACACTGTAAACAGTTTTCAAGTGAATAAATGAGTAGCTTGTGCCACACCCACACACTGCCCAGCCTCCCTGGTGTATGCCAGGGTGCTGGAGAGCAGAGTGTGTTGAGTTGAACCTCAGACCAGGACTTGGACACGGATTAGGACCGTGTCGTAACTGAGGGATGTTCTGAGAGTATTGGGTCTGTTATTTGGGGCTCTTCAGCCCCACTCTTGGTTTGCATTTCTTCCAGTAAGTCAGACTCATTTGGAGAGTGCGGTGGACGTCACCAGGGTTCGTCTTTGGTAACAGTTCACAACTTTAATTGGACAGTAACAAATTGTAGGAGAATATTTCAAAGAAATTGTTAATAACGATGTTTCTGATGATATAGATAAAAGAACTGAACGGTGTTTTAATCGATGCTTGCAGCTTGGCATGCAGCAAATAGAAGTTAAGAAGTATCGTAGGTAGTGTTTTCCTTGGAAACGAAATAAAAGTGTAAAAAAGCCTGTTAGCTAGGATGAAGTTAGGTCAATCTTTTTAACCAGCTGCTGAAAGTCCCACCATGTAACAACATCAGTGGTTTCCGTCCCTACTCTTCCTATCATGTGGAGCGCAGTTAGCCAGTCGTTTGTTTACATTTAGGTCGCACATGACCAGCTGCTAGCATCTTCTCCTTCGTAGCCTGGATGTACTCAACAGTGAAACTGCTTGTTTTCTTGCATAATTTGGAAACTGTTCTTTGTTGGAAGTAACTCGCCTTTTAGCTACAAAATCGACATCAGCTGACGTGCATCGCTTGCAGATCTCTGACATGATATCATCTCGATATTATCTCGTTTAGAATGTAACTGCATAGCAGACGATATAACACAGCCCCAATGTAGAGATTTTCTAGGTGCAGCCAAACAAGCAGACACTCTGCTTTGGTTTTGTCGGGGTTACATCTCCTCTTGGTCTTCAACGACCTCCAGCATTGGAGCGGCGTGTAAATGACAGAAAACAAGGAAAGAAAGTTGAGGTTTCCGGTAAAACTTTCCAAGGTCCACACACAGGAGGACACCGTCACGCCTTTCTGTGATGAGTTTGGATCTGTGTGGGTTTTGTCCAGGTACTTTGTCTTCCTCCCACATGGCTTCCACCGGAGACATGTAGTTAGTGGGGTTAAGTTAACTTGTGATCAACTTAAGTGGTAGCTGGGATAGACTTCAGCCACCCCCCTGCCAACTTCCTCTAACCTCTTTAGAAAATAAGAAAAGTAAAGACAGGAAAGGTCTAAAATACTTAGCCTGGGTCAGTGGACAGGCTGCTGTAAAGTCAGAACATGTGTAGTTTAAAAAAAGAGCAACAGTTTCAGATTTGCACTTCTGTCTTTAAAAAGAAAACAAAGTCTTCACTCAAGCAGACAAGTCACCAACTATCAAATTAAAGGCAGATTGTGTGTCTTCCAACAGCATCTCAGACGGGAGGATTCATGAGTCACACTGATGTAAAGGATCTCAAAAGGAGGCTCTCTCACTTTAATGGCTGTTTTAATGAGGTTATAATAATAAGAGTTCTCTCCATCATCAGTATTCATACAGCAGGACTCCTTTCAGCAGCAGTCTGCTTTTTGCAGTCTCTCATTTGTTTCCATTCATGTTGTTGTCCAGGGTTCCTGCAGGGAATTAAAGTCTGACATTAAAATAAAGGAAAACACATTTCCTGTAAATGTGCTTTAGGAAAACGCATTTGAAGATGGAGTGTTTAAAAATAAAAAAAAGATGCTTCATTGTTGTCGCCTTTTTCATCCTGCACCCTTCATTTTAGGGTGTAGTAACGTGGATCAGCACAGCAGGGGGTGTAACACTCACACTGAGCAAAAAGAGAAAGTCAAGTGTGCTCCAACCTTTTTAGCTTACAACAATAATGGATGTAGTCTTTATTGATAAATAAATATTAAATTGATGAGAAATTCCAACATTGTTCCTGCACTGTTTAAACAACTCTCAGTCACTTTAAGGCTTTTCTAACGTGTTAAATAAAAAAGAAAACCCCAAAATGCATTCTAGCATCTCGATCCATATTTCACTGCGTATGTTCTGTAATTATGCTTATTAAAAACAAGTCCTTAAAGATTTCATTGTCTTTATCAAAGTGGAAGCTAACAAATCGCACCATTAAAACATTAAAAATGAAAAACGGACATGGGCCTAAATAAAAAAGACAAAACAAAAACCACCAAATTCATCTTTTAAAATGAAGTAATAGCAGTTTTTGAGTCATGTTCTTATTTAATTGGTGTTTTTTCAGTTGTGTTTATATCCAGAGTATTTAAACTGTTAGTACTAATGTACCTACAGTGAAACAAGCATTTTGAGCATAGCCACTGATTGGCTCACGGTTCAGGACCCTGCAGGGGCCACTCTGGCGGGCAGTGATTTTTAGGTCACCTAAAAGCTGAAGGAAGGCAAGAAGAAACGTGGTTGTTTCCCCTGAGAGGAAAAAGCTGCTTGGCAGTCGTGCTGCGTCGCTGCAGCTGTCGGAGGCTGAACTCTCTCCACCTGCATCTCCCTGGGAGCCAATCGCAGCGCTGCCTGTCTGAGCCAGCGTCTCCTGAACCCTGAACACTGCAGCTTTGAGAGGATCTGTTCAAAGTGAGATATTTCAAATCAACACCACCTGCAGGCTGCGGGGAATAAAACTTATCAGCTCTGTTAGTGAAGAACTTTTTCTAGGTGTTTTTAACAGCTAAAAAAACCAAGTCTACAAGTATTTTATAGATATATTTGAACAGAAGTGAAGAAAAATCATGTGAATGGCGAAACTTGAAGGGCCCGTGAAAACCGTTTGTAGTTTTGCATGATTTTCAGTTCAAAATACGCCTTCTTTGTGTAATACTGGGCCTCTTCTCACTTTAATGCCACCTCGGTTGACATTAAACCTGGAAACCTGTTAGGGGGACACCACCCCTCTGTATTTTATTCAGCCAGAGGCACCCATCCATCCTTGGTGATTAGCTAGATAACAGAAGCAGTGGTCCAAGCAAGTTAAACCCAGACCTCCCTCTCACTAGCTACCTTTTCTCAGCAACTGACTTGGGAACCTGATGCATTCTTAAGCCAGCTGAGAGACATGATTCCTTTGTCTTGGGTCTCCTCCTGGGAGGACATGCCTGGAACGTCTCATCAAATGCCCAAAATAACCTCAGCTGGCTCCTTTTTGTAAGCTAAAGAGTAGCAGCTCTACTCTGAGCTCTAACCTGCCTCAAAGTCTGAGCCTTGCCACCCTTTGAATGAAGCTCGTGTCTGCTGCTTGTCTCTACCTTCACGTTGTTTTTAGTCTCCACCAGAGCTCGTGGGCTTAGGTGAGGGTAGGAATGTGGATCGACCGGTAAATCGACACCTCTCCCTTCATACTCAGCTCAGGCACAGACTAGATACCTCAAACTCCTGAGGCACCACAGGACATCCAGAGGAACGCAGCCTACTCCCATGGCCAAGCTCCCACACACCCTGAAATACCTTTGAGAGGACAAGGAGCTCACCTGATGACCACGAACAGGACAAAAACCACAGTCTTCCTCCTGAATTCAAGGCCGGAAACACCCATGACCTCATTTTCTTTTCATACCGCTGCTCTCAGGTGAAGTGATTACTAGTTGAGGATAGTACGAAAATATAATAGAGCTCGAGTTTCTCTCTGAATGTGTCTCTTGTGGTTGGAGCTTAAAAGCAGCTTTAACTCGAAGACGTCTGGACATGAGTGTGAGGATGAGGAGAAGAAGAAGTGATTTTTAAAGCACCAAGAGGCTGAAATACGATTCAGGTGTTTTTCTTAATTGACTTCAGGAAGCAGGTTTGTGTCCCGGTGGTTTGACGCTCGGACCAGCACAGAACCCTGACATAATTAAGTGTTTTCTTTTTGCCTTTTGAAAACAAGATGTTGTTTTTAAAAAGCGTAGAGCAAAGCTGGGAGCGCCCCGGCGACTGGACGCTTTTAATCAGCCTTATTTGCACCGAATCCATTTTTTAACAGTTTCGCTGCTCCACGGGGAGCCTGAGATCTCTGCACATCCTCAGTCTCTTCCCCTTTCTCTCTGGCTTCCTTCATCTCTCTTCAGGCACTCCAGGTCACAGTATATAAATATATACACTGCTTAGACGCTTAAATCTTGCATACATTGGTGCTACTTGAAGATGAGAAGAAAAACCAAAGTCAGACCATTACTGACTCACTGCTAAACTGGTCGTGCTGCATGATGTTGGAGGCAGGATGCCATGGCTCACATCTGTCACATGCGCCCAGTATAAACCTGCTCTCCTCTGTGAAGATAACGGGGCACCAATAGTCCTGGTGATCTCTGGGTAGAGTCAGATAAACAGTGAGGTCCCACTAAGAGCAGGAGTGGCAGACATCAGGCTGAAAGAAAAGGGAATTTCACTGATCTGGTCCATCTTATGTCAACGTGGGCTGGATGTGGCACATGATGTTTAAATGAGGATATTGGACCCTCATGGAGCCAGATTAAATCGGAGACATGCGTGAGTAGCCCACTGTTGTAGAGTTCTGGCCCTGTTCCATCCAGCTCCAGTAACAGACACAGTAACACAAAGTAATGAAAAATCAGTCAAGAGGGATAAAGACAGAGCAGTGATCTGTGGCCATCACATCCTAAACCATTCTCTCGTTTGCAGTGCATTCTTACTTTTATTTACACCAAAGCAGGTTTAATATTCATTCACAAAAGTGTCTGCTTCCTGACTGAACAAACTGAAGTTTAACTGCTTGTGTTTTTCTGTTTGTCTTATTATTATATATAATAATGGATGCAGCAATAAAAACACAACTATCCATGTTACATCGATATCTCAAAGTCTCAGTATGTACACACAAAATGTAGTTTAATTTCATTGTAATAACCTTTCTTTTGTTATGTGTGACAAGGTAAAAAAAAAACTGCTGCTGTAACATTCATTGACTCTGTGCTATGCATGTGAGACCAAACTAAACTCCCCAACATCAACAAATACAACTGACTATTCTAAAACACCATAAAGCAGCGAGAATATGAAAGTTCGTTGTGTAAAAAAAGAGTGGTTTTCAAACTTTTTTTGCCCTAAGCCTGTCTGTATTTATACCTGAAGAAAATAGCAGCTCTTTGTCTGGGCTCTAAAGTTAATTTGAATTCCTTTTTTACCTGCCAACAATTATTAAAACAAGATAATTGAGAAAAAATAATATTCTGCTTTTGCCTTTCAGCACATACCTTTTCTTTACCTTTGCCCCTTCATAAAAGTCCACATTGATTCCCCTCTGGGCTTCGGCGTGTTTAATTCATTTCTCTTTCATTTACTTCTGCAGTTAAAATAACATTGAAGTTCAAAAATATAAACTTAATTGAAAAAAAGATTTTTTTTCCTTTTCCTGTTCTTTTTTAAAGTTTGAACAAACAGTGTATTTATTATCTCTCTGCTCTTGCTCTTGACGAAGGCGGTCGCACTTTTCTCCTCTCCTCCTCTCCCGTAGCTTCCCTGCTTAGCCTCTTATGTCCTTGTCTAGTCTTGTGTTTTTTGTATTACTTTTCCCTGGAACACTCTCTCACAGTCTGTTCTCTAAAACCTAAAAGAGGAATTATGGATTTGATCAACTGGTCCCTAAATGCAATTGACACCCCTTTCTCAACGAGAAGTCTGGGCTCGGGTGAGCCTGACTGCTGAAGATATCTACCTATTCGGAACCATGGTAACAGGGTTCTGGCTGATCGGAGCTGGCTTGGCCCTGACTTATCGAAGAATTAAGAAAGCGGAACCGGCTGTTCAAACCCTCACAAGGCTGCCCGCTGGGATTGAAACGATGGGAGAGGCGTGAGTTTCTCAAAATGGGCTCATTGAGTGCAGCACGAATAAGATCTTGGAGAGGCTACGGCTGCTGTGAATAAATGGATTGGATTTATATAGCGCTTTTCAAGGCACCCAAAGCGCTTTACAATACCACTATTCATTCACTCTCACATTCATACTCAGAATACTCAGAATAAGATCTCTGACTGCAGACTGGATACATCTCGGAAGGGCTAGCCCGGAATAACATCTCTGTGCGTAAATTGGATCACACCTCGGGGAGGCACACTGCTGTGAGTTCTCAGAATCGGCTCCTTGAGCACAAGAAATGACAACATCACAGAACGCAAGTATGGCGAAGCTCACGGCTCTCCAACGGGAGATTGAGAGACCAGTGTTGGACTGTAGAACTGCTTTGAAATTCATATGAGCTGTTCGCACTAAAGTAAAAACCACCATCACTTCATGCGGAGACCCCCTTTGCCGCCAGCTGCGGTGTCAAGGCTGGAGCTGAACAACACCCTGATAACGACTGTGTTTAGTCTGTCCCCCCCATTCCATGCAAGGCCACCTGGGTTGGCTGGAAGACTGTTTACTTAGCCTGGCAGGGCGAAAGACACTGTCTCAGCTGAACTCTGGACAACACACACATACATATACACTGATATGCACACACTCATCCCCCCTCCCTTTCCAAACGCCTTCGACGCTTATTTCCTTCCGATGCTGACAGCGGATCAAGGAGACCAGCGCACGCAGGCCCGGATGTACTGTCTACACTGGCTGTCTCTCACCCTTTACCCACCCCTGTTGCTTGTCATGTGTTTCTTTGGTGTATTAAGTTTTTTCATGTGCTTTGTGCAGAGGTGTTTTTTTCTGTTCTCAAACTGATCTCCATGTTGGAGCTCAGTCTGGGGGGAGTTATTTTTTTCTCTTTATCTTTCCTCATGTGGTGCATTTTCCATTGTTATACCTCTCTGACCTGTCTCCCCCATGTGATGTTTTGTGTAATGTATGTATGGTCGGAGGGTAAGATGGCGCCGCCATTGCGTGCAATAGGTCGGCAGCCTTATGAAATTTCCCTTGTGGGACTAATAAAGGTATATCAAATCAAAATCAAATCAAACTATGATGAGTCACGTCAAATATTTGTAATCTCACTGTTGACCAAAATAATGCCGACTATCATTCATACCAGACTTGAGCAGCAGGTGGAGGCACTCCTGAGCGTCACACCTACAATTCTCTTGCTTTGCAATGAACACTACCGGCATGCAGCTTTCTTCCATTGTATGACGCTGTCTCACACTAAACTGTTCAGTTCAGTTCAATTTTATACAGTAAGACAAAGAAAATGGAAAAAAAACAAAAACAACAATCATATAACCCCCTATAAGCAAGCACCATGGCGACAGTGTGAAGGAAAAACTCCATCAAGAGACAGATATTAATAACAGATATGATTCAATGCAGAGAGGTCTATTAACACATAGTGAGTGAGAAAGGTGACTGGAAAGGAAAAACTCAATGCATCATGGGAATCCCCGGCAGCCTACGTCTATTGCAGCATAACTAAGGGAAGATTCATGGTCACCTGGTCCAGCCCTAACTATATGCTTTAGCAAAAAGGAAAGTTTTAAGCCTAATCTTAAAAGTAGAGATAGTGTCTGTCTCCCGAATCCAAACTGGAAGCTGGTTCCACAGAAGAGGGGCCTGAAAATGCTCTCCTCCCATTCTACTTTTAAATACTCCAGGAACAACAAGTAGGCCTGCAGAGCGAGAGCGAAGTGCTCTAACAGGGTGATATGGTACTACAAGGTCATTAAGATAAGATGGGGCCTGATTATTTAAGACCTTGTATGTGAGGAGCAGGATTTTGAATTCAATTCTGGATTTAACAGGAAGCCAATGAAGGGAAGCCAAAGCAGGAGAAATATGCTCTCTCTTTCTAGTCCCTGTCAGGACTCTTGTTGCAGCATTTTGGATCAGCTGAAGGCTCTACAGGGAGTTTTTGGGAGGACTTACCTGTCACCAGCTGCCAGTGCTTAACTAACCTTAATTGATTGTGTAATGTGATCTCAGTGTTTCCTGCCGGCATGTGATATGTGCTGGCTTCAGACTGGAAATGGCTCAGCTCATACCCTTTAATGACAGCTAATCATTTGATGAGAGTGGGCGAGGAGAGCAGATAATCTCCTTGCATTGCTTTCAATGCACTCACTTAGAACAAGACTAGAGTGCATGAAGGCCTGCAACAGGTAGGATGGGCTTCAAACCCACCCACCCCCCTGTGGGGCTGTACGGAAGGACCTAATAACCGTAGGTTATAAGATGCACGTAGATGCATCTTTGCACCTTTCACTTTTTTATCTTTTTGCCTCATTGGGTGCAAAGCAGGTACCAGGCAAATGCAGTGACCAACCTTTGAGAACTACAGATACAGTAATAAAAACTAGAGTGAAACAACATACAAGTATGGAAGTATGTATCTTGTGATGACTTTAAGACCTTTATCGTTAATTATGTGTCTTATTGCTGGAGCATATATATCTTCAATTGGTGGCTTTTATTCAACCTGAGTGTTTTGAGAAGTGCTTTACAAATAATGTTTTCCCCCTGTCTTGTCTTTGCTCCTCCAGACTTGTCTTTTCTGAGCGGAGCATCTTGCGACTCTCCCAGCAGCAACTCTCCTCCTCTCGCCATTTCCCCACCTGCTGCCACTGTCACCACTCCAGGTGTCCTGACCTGCGCCAGCCGGGCCTTCGCCTCCTGCCTCCCTCCACCTCCTCCACCACCTCAGTCCCCATACCCCCTCTCCACCCTGTCTTCTCTCTCATCGCTCAGCCCTGCCGCCTCTCACACTCAGAGACTCTACATCAGCCCGCAGTCGCCGTTCTACTGATGGTGAGACTCTGCAGTGAGGAGGGATTTAAACTGTGCTTAATCAAATGTTCTTCAAAGTCTGCCTCGTCGAGGAGATACATACTGTCTCTGAAGACTTTTTGTGTCCTACTAATATAAGAAAGGTTTCCAAGGAGACAGAGTAAAGGCGATTTGATTTTATGCCCTAATTCAGTATAACTAGTTTTATGTGACATTATTTGGGGTTTATTTATTTATTTTTGCGCTTCAGAGCATGTTATCTTATGTTTTTTGTCTTTTTTCTTTATGCCCTCCAGTCATTTTCTGCCAGAGGCGCTGCCTCGCCTGAAGGTCAGAAGTTAAAGGAAGATCTACTGAAGGAAAAGTGCGAGGAAGAAAAGGCAGGCTGTGTTTCTTACAATTACGCTGCACACGGTGTAATTGTATTGTTAATGTGCTTTTTTAAATTAGAGCCTCTGTTATGTTAACTTTTGTCCTCCTGTTATGTGGCGAAGGAGGGGGCAGAGTCACTGTTTTATCATCCTCTTCTTCTTCTAGAGGAATTTTTGTAGCTGCTGACTTCCTTCACAATCCGACTCTAAATATGAAGCTCCAAAACAAAAGACCATTTTTGTCTTTTCTTATTTTGTGTGAGCTGCTTTGCATCCAGGCTGATTTTAAGCACGAGGAAGAAGGAGGCTCTGCAACAACTTTTGTTGTTGGGCTTTTAGTCTCATTTAAACTGCATTCAGCACAAACAGAGGCACAGTTAGTTTCTCATGGTTTTGTTTCACATTCTAGTTGTTTAGTGTTCATAAAGAAAAGTTCATTTATCAGTAATTTCAAAAAAACAACAATGGGGCGGGGGGTCCTTTTAAAGCGTTGATCTATCCAAAAGCAGCCGCCTGAGTAAATATCCCCTAATATTTATTATATTGGCTTTACAATTGGAGCTTGCATTTAATTATTATTTTTTTTAAATTTACAACTAAAAAAGCAGAAGAAATCATAAAATCAGCATTTTTATTTATATTCACAAAACAATTAGTAGTTGCATGCCTTAGTGATAATATTGATGGTACTTCTTTATTTTTGGAGACTTTCATTGTCATAACATTTTAGACCTTTAATTAAAGGGGGTCCTTAGTTAATGGCGAAAAAGTAGAATGTTTAATAAAAATCAATAACTCAGTATTTCTTTTTTAGTATTTTATGTTTTAGAGTTTCTCTTTATGGGACCCAAAATTCACTTGTTATTGGTAATTACTTCATTTTTAGGCAAGTTTTCAATTAAAACTAGTAGTAGTAGTAGTAGTTACTGCCAAAATAATCAGCAGATTGATCAGTTTAAAAGTACAATTATTAATGGTAGGACTACAGATAAATGCTGTTTATTTTGTTTTGTTCTTTCTTTTGGAGACACTTTGAAATTCCAAATAAAATTTTCTAGAAATTTTATAAATGTTTAAAGGTGATCCGTTTTACAGAAAGTTGTTACAAAATTACAGATTTTGCATAAATATTTGGGAGATGAGGGCGTGCTGTATGTTTTTTCTTCTTGCAGTTTTACACTTTTAAAGCAAGCAGAATTTATAAATACTTTTCTGCTGTGCAATGGGGGAGTTTGAAGTTGAGAGGAGAGAGTTGTACACGGTTCCTTAATAAATGAATTCAAACGCACTGAAAGTTGTGCTTGAAGGTTTGAAATCGATCGTTTTTAAGATCAAAGTAACAGCGGAGTGTTTTAAGTTCATGTTTTTTCTCTCTTTCTTGATTAGTTTGACTGATGCATGTTGCTTGGACTTTAAATGTTTTATATGTATTTACAGGGACTGTGTTTGCATAGTTTTACTTCATGTTCATTCCCTTGTTTCATACAAAGTTCCTGCAACATATTGCTCTGCTCGACTTTGTTGATTTTTAGGAGAAAAGGTTTAATTTGTGTTTAAAACCAGACAGAAGATTTTGTTTGTGACAGAGAATCTGAATATTTTTAATGCATGTCAGAATATTCGTCCCAGTTTTTGTTTTAGTGAAATCCAAACCAGACAGCAGACTGAAATCTCTTCAGTCGTGAATAAGAAAAGCAGAAACAATAGTGATAGTAAGTCCAATCAAAAATCACGATAGTGTGTAAAAGAATAAATCTTAGTTGCTCCCAATGTGACCGTATTTATTAAAAACAGATATGAAGTATTTCACAGCACTCAAAAACAAAAAGTAATGAAGGGTTTGCTTATAAACTTGCCACACAGTTAAATTTCAAGAACATGAAGATAAAGAGTTTTGTGTATTCATGTGAATCTCTGTGTTGTAGTTTAGTCTCAGGAATCTTGTTTCCAAAAATTAAACAGTGGGAGTATTTTGGAATAAAACCCTGCCACAGTTGATTCACGTACACCTCTACTGTTTTTTGTCCCAAGAAATGGTTGAATAGTATAAAATACAGTACTATACAAAAGTCTCGAGTCCCCATTCATTTCTTTTCATTTTGATCCCAAGAAGCCAGACTTTCTTGAATTTGAAAGTGGTTTTGAGCAGTGGTTTGGGTTTTGTAGGACTTTCTGTAGGCTTGACTCATTTCAGTCCAGTCTGTGTACCTGAATTGTTTTGTTTGTTTGCTTGGCCACTTAACACTGATCTATGTGTCATTCAAACATTAAAAGCCGCACCTAACTCGAGGGATTACCCAGTGTTGTGTCTACACATAACAGAAGGCTAAATCAAAAAACGAATTTTAAATTACACACATTTTCTACTAGCAGCTTATCACAAAAACACATCGTTTGTTCCAATTTCTGTAGTTGAATCTTGAGAAATTCCAAAGATAACCCAGTTTGGCAGACATAAAATTTAATTTTTGCACCAACAAGGCGATTCCCAAAGAGCTATTAGCCAAAAACCTGGCATATCTCAGCATGATGTGCAGTGTATCCTTAAAAAAATGTTTGGGTGCTCATATTTGGCACCCTGAGGCTTAAAAGGATGTAAAAGATCTTTGCTGAGCTGGTATGACTCAGCATCTGAGTGTTCTGTGTTTTTTCAAGGAATAGTCGCACTAGTCTGACAAACTAATGTATACCGACTTCCATCAAGATGGTTGTTTTTACCCCTTGAAAGCCCATGAGGAGTAACCCATGAACCTCTTTTTCTGAAGTGAGCGGTTTCTGTCATATTTTGAGCTTCTTATAGAACAAAATGACTTGAGTTTGCGTCAGACGTTAGTGACGCTGGTGTGACCGTGCTGTTCAAACCTCCTTTTCTGTCTGGTAGCCATTGCCTGAGCTGTTAACTAAAACATCAGCAGACCACAGGAAAAAGTTTTGAAATTGGATTTTGGCAAATCCCACACATCTTTTGCTTCCTGAAAGGGATATTTACCTGCATATTCATGGTACTGGTCAATGATATCTGAAGCACAAATGTCAGAAATAAGACTCTTACAGATGTTTTTTTATGTTTTTGGCATGCCTACTTGGTTTTAGATCATGTAGAAGAAATGCCAGTGCTGCTTGAACCGTGACAAAAAACAGATGAACAGTAGTTTCTGTCTTTTCAGTTTCACTGCCTTTGAATCCTTGTTTTCCTCTAAAGGCTTGCTGATTTGCTCTTCTGCAGCTCCTATTTCTCTTCAGCACTTTTCTGAACCCTGAACCTTCATCGCTCGAGAAACTTTGTACTTGATTCAGTCTTTGTAGCATGGAAACTTAAAAGGGGAACCCATTAAAAGCACTATATTTCCTTTTTTTCACTTATGTGAAAGGTTTTTATTTCCAATTCAGTATTGATTCTCACCTGTAATCCAGCCATATGGTTGATTTAATAGTTGTGTTGGAGCTTTCCGAGTTCTCAGGCCCCCCTATGCAATGTCAGAACTTCAACTTTTTAGGAAATGAGGACAAAAGGTCATAGAAATGCTTAAAGAAGCAGGAAGAATATGATTCTATAATCAGCTGTTCAGTGCAACCTGTATTGAAATCTTTTTTCTTTGTTACCTTGTTTGAATGGTTTTGCTGTTCAAAATGTTCCTTCGTTGTTGTTTTTAGTGATACAGAGTCACAGTGTATTCAGTGAGTTTGTGCTTTACAGGGTAAAAACACAATACAGTCATAAATACATCCTAAAAACCCTTGTCTAATGAAAAGCTTTTTGAAATAAAACTGTCTTTAGCTGCTTTTTGAAGGTCTCCACCAAGTCCAGACACCGTAGAAAGAGAAGAAGAGCATTTCACAGTCTGGGTGCAACAGCTTGGAAAGATCGGCCCCCTCAAGTTCTGAAACGAGTGTGGGGGACCGCTAAAAGGTTTTGGTTTGATGACCTCAGGTTACGAGAAGAGGTATGTGTACGAATCAAATCGGCAATATAAGGGGGGCCTATCCCTGTAATGCTCTAAAAGTTCAAACTAACTAAACTAACATTTTAAAATGGAACCTAAATCTGATTGGTAGCCAGTGCAGCGACTTTAAAACAGGGGTCATATGGGCTCCCTTGTTCAAGCGGGTCAGTAGCCTCGCTGCAGAGTTTTGAACAACCTGCAGACAAGCTAGCCCTTTCTTGTTTAGACAAGTAAACAGGCTGTTACAGTAGTTGAGTCTTGTAGAGACAAAACCGTGTATTATCATCTGGAGTTCCTTTGTTGACACGATGGATTTAAGTTTTTCTTACTATCTGATTTAAATGTCCCTCCAAAGAAAAAGCTTCATCAAAAATAACACCCAGGTTTCTAAGGTTATGTTTTTGTGAGGAACCTAAATCGCCCAGTCACCGTTTAATATCGGGTATTGCACTGCCTGGTGCAATAATCAAAGTTTCTGTTTTGGCCGGGTTTAGCTGTAAGCAATTATTGTTCAACCATTTAATATAGCTGAATATCGTCAGCAAAAAAGATGATAAGATACTTCAGGTAACTGCTGTATTAGCTGGCTTAAAGGAAGAATGTATATTAAAAACAGAATAGGTCCCAGCACTGAGCCCTGAGGAACTCCACACAGCAACTCTGTAAATTCTGACATGATCTGGTTTGCAGACACACTAAAACTCCTTTCAGATATATAAGATGAAAACTAGTCTAGAACAGAGCCAGACATCCCAACCAGGTCTCTCCGTCTGTTTATCAGGATGGTATGATTGACTGTAACAAAGGCTGAGGTAAGGTCTAACAAGACTATGACTGTGCATTCTCTGGAGTCTGCTGACATCATAATATCATTAGTGACTTTCAGTAGTGATGTCTCAGTGGAATGCAGTGGAATTTACGGAACCCAGATTAAAAACGGTCATAGATGTTGTGTTTCTCCAAGTATGCCGTAAGGTGGACAGCAACTGCCTTCTCAAATAGTTTTGACATAAATGGGAGTTTGGAGATCTAAAGGTCTAAAATGTTCAAGTAGTGTTGGATCCAGGTTGGGTTTTCTGAGCCTTGGTTCCACAATGGCATGTTTAAAAAAAGCTGGGGAACACCTCAGGCTGAAGAGAAACATTAAAAAGGTTCACAACTAGAGCTAAAATTGAGTTAAAAAAAAAGACACAATTATGATCACTCAAATGTACATCCTCAACAAACACATTGCCAATGTTGAGGCCCAAGGAAAAGACAAGGTCCAAGGTATGGCCTTTTAAATGGATTGGACCAGAGACGTGTTGGACAAAGTTAAAAGAATCAGATATAGATAAAAGTTCAGCTGCAGAGTTAGATGAGGTATCATCAATATGAATGTTAAAAAAACTTTCTCCAGCTTGATAATAGAAGATAAGAAGTCCATAAAATCCTTTAAGAACTCAGTAGCAGGGCCAGCCTGCGGGACGCAGTTTGTTTAGGTTAATGAACTCGCCATCCCTCTGCTATGTTTCAGTGAAAAACAGAAAATCCAGGTTTTTTTTCCTGTGAAGAGCTCATTCAGAGAGAAGGATTTGTTTGCGCTGGAGCCGGCGTTCAAGAGTGCAATCTGACTAAAAGCTGGCATCGCCGGTTTCACACCAGCTTGTCGGAGTGGAACTGACAGCAAACACCGTGTCTGAACGCGTGGTCTCCAGCAGCGCCATGGAACCGGTGGGACCAACCACCGGTTGTGCGATGCAGGCTGCGAGGACACAGCGGTAGAGAGGTAATCGACAAAATCCAGAGCATCAAACGAGCAGGATCCAGGCTGTAGTGGCTGTGAGTACGTGTTTCCAACCAAATCTGGAAGCGTAACTGGCAGCAGAAATCGAGGACGCCTCCAGACGAGTCGGGAAATCTCCGATCTGTAGGCTCGTCTAATATGTACCTGGATGCCGGCTCTACAGCCTCTTTTCCTTGATTTCTTCTTGGAATTGCCAAGGGCACGTTTCGTAGGTAGCAAGAAGTAATCCGGTGAGGTGGAAGAGCACACAAATGGTGGGGGGAAAGATCTCCTATAACTGTCCCAATCATCATAAAGACGTTCCATAGATTCTTCGATGTGGAGCAAGGAAGAACGGTCATAAATCACAGCAGCATAGCTCCATATATTAAACGTCAGGACTGATACAATAGCATAAAATACAATACAACGCAGGCAGGTGGAAGTCAAGCCGAGCAAAGGCGCCATCTTTCTGTCACAGTCAGCTGTTTTCCCACACTAACAATTTTCTGTATTGTATTGAACTGAATTGAAACAAAGCTACTTCAAATTGTCCACGTGTACAGATATCATCCCAACCTAGTTTTTAAAGGATTTTTTGTTGAACATATTGTTTCAGTTATTTCTTTGCTTTCAGCATGCTATCATTTAATTCAAACTTAAAAAGTCTAATCTGAATTTCTAAGGTTCTGAACAAAATTATTTCAACTAATTTGTGAACAGTAATGCTGTTTTTATACTTTTCAATATTAAAAATACCAAAAAGCCTCTCTGCACTCTGGAGGCTTTCATATGTAGTTGTCTCTGTTTGCCCTTCACTCACTTCTGTCTATATAACAAAAGCAACCAAAAGCACGATGCTGCCTTTACCATGCTTCACTGTATTTAACACTATTTAAAGCCCATAGATCAGTTTTTCCTCAACGCATCAAAGGATCTTTTTCTTTCTTGCACAGTCAGAACGAGTCCATATAAAACCAGCCAAATCGGAAATAAGTTCCATGGCACTCCCTCATGGAGGCTGGCAGTGACAGACTGGTCAGAAACATGCACATGAGTAGCTTTGGCTGTGCTCCTCTGGTTCCTCCTCACAAAAAGGAGCAGATTCTGGCCCAACTGCTGGGTTGATGCCCTTTTAAGGCTCTGCCCACCCTGTCTCCTGGTACAGCAAACGCTGCAACTGCAGGTATAGTTGGACCACCCTACCTGTGCATAGGCTGCATGCACTGTCTCATGTTACCAGGACACTGAGAAAAAGGACCTATGCCTGTTGCTCATTTTTAAAAAGAAAAACAAA